AATTAAATTACCCTTAGTCAAGCCCACCTCTCACTTTAATTATTATTTGGGTCGTACCTTAATGCCCATTATATAATGTTTATTTTAATTTCTCATTAGTCATATCCGGCAATTTATATCGTGGACCACGGCGTACATAGCAATATGCGCCCAGGCACAAAACACGCTGTTTCATGCTGACGTCATACTGACATCACTCCGTCCATCCGAACAGACCAAACCTCATTATGTGTATTCAGTTAAAATTTTATGTGTATTGTGTTATGAGTTTATGTGTATTCAGTTAAGAGTTTTATGTGTATTATGTTAACCAAACCCATTATGTGTATTCACTTAAAAGTTTATGTGTATTGTGTTATGAGTTTATGTATATTATGGTATTATGTAAATTAATTATGTGTATTCTGTTATGAGTTTATGTGCATTCGAAACATGGATATTTTTTTTAACTTAACAGAACGACGTCGTTTTGAGAGGCACGGACTGGTGCACGATATAACGATTGGTCATATCCTTCACTCTCAATGTTTTTTATTTAAACGAATCACTAGAATGTTGGAAATATATTTAATACTAATTCTTATAACATATATATGCATCTTCCTTAATTAAAAATATCCTCCGATCCATACCATACCAACACCATATTTTTCTACTAAATTCTATCACTGCCCACTGCCCAGGAATGCCAGGCCAGAACCTTGACAGCTTATCATCAAGAATGAAGCAAAGACAGGAGGTGCAGTAATGTGGGCCCAATTTGACATTGAAACTTGCTGTCATCTAGCCTGGAGGCCATGGCCCCTTAGATTTTGAAGCACCAATGTGAAAACTACCTGCATTTGGACTTACATACTATATCATTGACAGACCACATCATAATTATATTTTCAGAATAATACTATATGTAGCTACTTATACTTTTTTTTTTTTTTTATCTCATTTTTTACTATTGACTAAGGAGACAACTTCTGGTTAATTCAAAATAAAAAAGTGGATCGTACCTGAATGTCATGTCACCCTCTCTCGCTCAAACTCATCGCATCGAATTTTTCTAGTGTAATTATTTATTTTTCATGTGTGTGATTTGCAAACTATTACGCAGGAGCGGAGTTTACCTAGTAGTTTCATGTTTCCCTCTTCACCCAAAATAAAAAGTGGGTCAGAATTTTTATTCACTTCCGATGTTTTCTTTCTCACCGACATATAGAGATGTTAACTGTGCCAGCTTGTTCGATTTTGGTCGGGCAATGTTGAGCATATAACCATTAATGTGCAATCCAACTATCAGCTCAGACTTGATAGAGCACATGCTTCGATTTGGTATCGTGAGGGGGCGTGTTGAGCATATAACCATTAATGTGCAATCCAACTATCAACTTAGACTTTTAGTTGAGATGAAGCATTGGCAAGCCTTATTGGGCTCATTGATTCGATTAAGATTAATATTCTTATATGCATTTGTCTGAATGTTTTACTCTCTAAAATACACATATTATTTTCGGAATTTTCCCTTCACCCATGTCCCTATCCCTGTCTCCACCTCTTCATATACTTGGCAGGGAATGATCTTAAAACCTCATACGTGGCCCAATTTTCCACCGTATATATATACTCCAGGTTTTAACTGCAGAAATATTTACGATATTATCATGCATGTTACGTTATTGTTGATTGCATGCAGACAAAAAGTTCATTTATAGTGTTTTTTGCCCCTACGTACTACCTGTTCATCGTTGCCGTTTAATGTTCGTCTTTTTTCATGTTTGGGATATTTTTTCTTGGCGTCGGTTAATTCTGTTACTTGTTCTTCATGAAATTAATATTTTGTCTTCAGAATTTATTGATATATCTCTCCAGATTCATGAATAGTGTATGATATGATAAAGATATTTATTCAAGTGTTTTCTTGACTTCAGGGACTCCTAAGCCTAGGGGTTTCTTTTTTGAATGGATATGTTCTAGTTAAATATCTATGCAAATAAATTAATGTCCAAGGGGAAAAAAAAGTAATAAATTAAAATTATAAAGAGATAAAAAAAAATTATTTAATACATTAATAATAAAATGTAAAAGAATTTATAAGCATGTAATTAAGAAAATAAGCGGGTGAACAAATTATTTTATTTAAAAAGAACTCTAAAAATAATATGTGAGTATATAAAAAAAGATAAGTACGATATATAAATTATTATTACTATAATGTTGAATAATCGAACACATATTGATTATTTTCATTGATAGCAAAAATGATTTGGCATTTCACAAGTCAAGCAGTAAAGAAAATGCACTGAAAAATAAAGCAAAAATTTTATTTTTTAAACGACATGACATGATTTGATAAACCAACTAAAAATGAGTCATATATACCAAACATATACTAATTGTATATCATATATTAATCTTAATTATATATACCATAACTTAACTGTAAGAATAATTTTATTTTTACATAGCAAAACCACATAGCAAAAGACCCTCAAACAACAAGGACCGCAACTTCGGAGTGTAGTCAAAAAGCATGAAGTTCAAGCTAGACCACTTGAACCCTATTTAATATGATCTGCACATTTATCTATCTCTTTGTCCGTGTTTGGTAAAATAGTTAGCCTCTAAGTCAATTTTAGCTTATTTGACCACTATTAATTGTTTGACTTGATTTAAAAATCAATATAAGTGTTTGGTTAATTGACTTTTTGTACTCCAAAATGCTAAAATTCAGTCAAAATAACTTTTTCAATTAGCTTTTTGAGAAAAGAAATTATACCAGCTATCAGCTAACAGCTAATTTACTAAACATCTTTCTACAATCAGCTAATGTTATCAACTAATAATATCTTCTAATTAACCTAATCAGCTAACCGCTAACAACAATTTACCAAACAGGGCCTTTATCTACGTACCAAACAAATCACATCATATCTATTTACCTCCCTAAATAGCAACTTGCATTATATATATTGCTTAGGTGGTCTACCCTTTTTCAATTGGGAATATGAAGGTCTGACGATTAGAAATGATTGCATGTTCATGTGAGGTGATTGAGCTGCTAGCTAGTAGCAGAGAAATATAATAAGTTGCTTTCAGAGGCCACAACTTGTATCCCCCTTTCCCTTTTTGGTTCATCTTTCCATATCTAACGTTCAATATAATTGAAGTCTAGATTTTCTGCCGATCATGAGGACCAGTGGTACCAAATCCATAATTGTATCGTTTCACATAATTTTATTGCACAACATATAAATTAAAATTTAGTGGAATGGAAATATGTAGTCTGCGTTTATGACTATATATTATAGCATGTTTAGTTTGTGGAACAAAATTGAAAATGAATGGGATTTAAATTTCATACAAAAGAATCAAATAGTCAGGTAATAAATTGTGGGTAGGAGTGTAGAATTATGACTTTTGTATCACTTCGAGGCTAATATTACTTCAACATTATGAAATCTCTTTTTAATCTGTCTAGATCAACTCTCAACCCATCAAGAAAACCCCAAAATTGCGGTGAAAATGTGTTATTTACCTCCACCCCCCTATAAATTAAAATTGTCAGGATAAAATACTTATTACAATGTCAAAAATTTTAACTAGTAACGAAGACACGATTTTATTTCTTTATATTTATGTAACGATAAACAATTGATGATAACTACTTGGTAGTTGGTACATGTGTTTTTGTTGGGCGGAGGCCGGTGAATGGCTAAGCCCAGCAATTGGTGGCTAGGGAAATTGTTGGACAGGGACTTGAAAGGCCAAGTCCACCACGCACCCCACCTCTTGAAAATGTGGTCGGTATAATAAAATTGTGCCTTCGCTACTAGCTATAACTTTTAACGTAGTGGTAACTAGTTAATTCTAATAGTTTCTAATATAGATCATTATAAATTTTCAAGATTGAATATGATGATTAAAGTAATATAAATGAATATGCGTAAAATTTTAAATTACAATGAAGAAAACCCTAGAATTATGAAAATATAAAAAGGGCTTATTGTGTGTGATTGAGGATGTTTTATGTGGCTACCATAAACTGTTGCATGCTCTTAAGACACACACACATATATATTTGTAAATTTTCTCTCTTTCTTTAATTTTGAAAAAAAAAATTATATAGAAGTATGGGGATGAAACTTAAACTTTGTAGATAGGGTTCTGTCCATTTGGTCGTGTGGTAGTATTCTTCTCTTCTCCTTTTCCTTTTGTCTCTTGTAACCCTTGTTTGTTTGGTTGTCATGAAGTCACGTGAATACCTGCCCCCCCCCCCCCCCCCCCTCCCCACCCCCAATCCGGCAATCCTTGATCAATTTTTAAGATTTTGGGTGATTATTGAATAAGTGAATAGTATAAAGATATCATGTTATAAAAAATTAAGTATCACTATATTAATTAAATACCGAGTAAAAATTAATTTAGTATTGACTGTCATTATTAAATTATGACACTACATCATGTAAGAAAATGAATATAACACGAAACTTTAAGTATAAATTACGAGACTTCCCTTTTAGCAATTAGGCTAACCAAGCTTATGAATTCACAACTCTAGTTTTTGTTTTTTCATACTACACTGGTATTCGTTTCGCATGTGATGAGTTTCAGTCAGACACAATATGAAAATATAATTCTTTTAAAAATACCACATCCCTCCATGAAAAGTCATGCCGCACAGTTATGTTCTCAGTTCTTGGCCTCTATCACTAATCCCACCTCGGTTCTAATATCAATTGGATCTCCCAATGGACCAGTCATCTTGTGACTGATGTAACTCAAGCACACTTACTTAAAATGAATTGGTTATAAGTGAGTGGACATTAATCATTTAACCACGTACATTCCTCCATAGTAAACCACACGGTCTCGTCTCGAATCGAACAGGGCTGAACTCGACCAACTTGACCGACACCCAACATTATTTCATACATACGAGCTTAAATTTTCAACGGACCTCATGCTCAACACCTTCTTAATAAAGAGTTTTAACAGTCTTGTAATTTTTTGGCCCCCTTCTCCATTCCACCCCCCATCCAATACCATATATTTAGCTGGCCAGCCTATCATTTGGATCACACGAAGAAAGAGAGAGAGAGAGAGAATTTGTTGCATTTTTTGTTGTTAAATTCAGATCAATTCCTCTACATCATCATATCTGATCTGATCTTCCCGGCCATGACTCCACCTTATAGTGCAAATTCTTCATCTTCTCCTTTCCCTTTTGAGCTGAGTAATGAAGATCATGATCATCATCATCATCAAAACCATAACCTTAATTTTACTACTCCAAACTACCATAATGTCTCTTCATCATCCTCTGCTCACTCCCAACCATCTCATCTTTTCTTAAACTCAAGATCATCCTGGGATAATCAACCTCAGCTCTACTATGATTCTGATCCTCAATTCTTCTATCCACAACACCCCAAGGTATATTTATATACTATACTTTCATGCTATGATCACTTAGTTTAATTATTTCAATTCCCTTTTTTTTGTTACTTATTTGGAAATATGTTTATACAGGTTGATAATAATCATGCTGCAAATGGTGGATCATATGATCAAGGGCCTAAAACAAAGGCAAGTTTATGGAGGAGTACTAATTGTGAAGACAGTAATGATCATCATACTCATGATGAGGGAATAATTCCTGTTAAGTGGATGTCTTCAAAGATGAGGGTGATGCAGAAGATGAAGAGCTCGGGATCGAATCGCGCTTGCCAGGTAGCCACCATGGCAAGCACCGCTACTACTATTACTACTACGGTTGTTGCTGCTACTACTACTACTGCTACTACTGAGATGATGAAGATTATTGAAGATCAGAAAAGGGCTTCTTCTTGTTTGGAATCTGAGCATAGCAGCAACAGCTCCTCCAATCATAGTAGCAGTAATGTTGTCCCAATTAGGGTTTGTGCTGATTGTAACACTACCAAGACCCCTCTTTGGAGAAGCGGTCCAAAAGGCCCTAAGGTAATTAAATATAAACTATTACTATACTACTAGAGTATGTACTAAAATTCTCGTATAGTAATATATTTTAAAGTAATTTTAATTAAAATAGTTTTATTTTTGTCTTGTCAAGATTTAATTAATTAATTTATTTATTTTAATCTTTTTGGGTGTTGATTTAGTCGCTTTGCAACGCGTGTGGAATAAGACAAAGAAAGGCGAGGCGAGCTATGGCCGCGGCCGCCGCAAAGGCGGCGGCTGCAGCGGCAACCGGAGCAGCAGAATCCTCACTGAACATCAATAAGGCGAAACCAACAAAAGAGAAGCCGACGACAGCGGCGGCGAAAAACCCCGCCACCGGCGTTAACCACCACCACCACCACGACGAAGTCACGCCCTTCAAGAAACGCTACAAGATTGTGGCCGGCGAGCGGCCCTCCGACCACGAAGCGAAGAAGACGAAGAAGAAGAAGAAGAATAAGATGAATGGGTTCGAGGATTTCTTGATAAAACTGAGCAAAAACTCGGCGTATCACCGCGTTTTCCCGCAAGACGAGAAAGACGCCGCCATCTTGCTAATGGCCCTATCCTGCGGTCTGGTTCACAGCTAATTAACGACCCACCCACCAGTTTCAATCATTACTTTCTTTCTTTCTTGGTCTGATCTGTTTGTTTAGCAGGTAGCTAGGTAGATATATAGCTAGCCTAGCCTAGTTTGTGTGACAATGAGACATCATAGTTAAGTTAGAACGAGAAAATTAAGAATAATAATTAGTGGCAATAATGAACTCATCATCGTCTGTCGTACGTCATCGTCGTCGTCCATGGCTAAGTTGAGATAGTATGGAACAAGAAAGGACGACACCATTATATTGGTCTCTTGTTTTCAATAACAAGGCTGTACTCACTTAATCATTCCAGCTAATATATTAATAATGTTTTTTTTTTTTTTTTGGGCGGTTTCTCGTACAAGCGAATGACGTTTTTTTTTTTGTTGTGTTTTATGGTACTGGATCATTGAGGATTGAGATTAAAAAGGAATGGGAGCAAGAAAAGACAAAGAAAGATGTTCGGATATTGAGAAGGAAAACACTGCAGATCTGCAGTAGTGGTGGCCTGAATAATGCTGAATGGCTCCTAAGAAGCATACAAACAATGATGATTCATGTTTCGCCATCAACACCCTACCCTAGCCAGCCTGCAACTATGTACAGTAGCTTTTGGTGCTCCCATAAGGCGTTTGGGGTTACACACATCTCACGGAGAAGCAAATTAAAACACCACCAATTAAGCAATCAAATTAAATAATTATGTCTGGGAATTAGCATAGTTGGTTCGTTGTCTGACTTAAAGATCATGACGGGTCTGTAGAGGTTCGAATCTCACTAGAAGTTTGTATGGTAAAAAGGCCCAAGGATGCTGGAAGATCTGACTTGGATCCATTATGCACACATGGAGAAGACTAAAATGTGGCCGATGGACTGATTGCGGGGTAAATTCTTGATCAAGTGTTAGTTATAATTGTTAGTGTAGTAGTTTTCTCAAAAGCGTTACTACATGCGTGGATGGGATTAATTAGTATCATTTGCTGTGGTTGAGGGGAAGGAACTTATCCATCCTTAATCAAATGTCAATGATTTAGGGTGTGTTTGGTTGGTGGGTTTTGCCCATAGGAATAGGTATGAAAGTGATTGTTGCTGTTTGGTTGATATGTTTTTAGAACACTACTATGGGTTTCGAATACCCCATGAATTAAAAAACCCATACCCAAATAAAATAAGGGTTTCATTCCCTTATTCATTCTCAAGCACTACTATTAGTAACCATTCTCATTCTACCATACTATCAAACATGTTAAATACTTTCACCAAAACCCATTACCATTACCAAGTATTTGATACTCATTCCGATTCCGATTCCTATGTGCGAACCAAACACACCATTAATTATATTCTTGGCTTTGGGTATGGAGCAGCTACACCTTTTTTGCCCGAGTCAAGCATCTTGCTATCAAAACGTGTTGCTGATTAAGTGCATGCATGTTATGTAAATATAAGAAAATAAAATTATTAGTTATAATTTTTGACATAGTATATGTAATAAGTGTTTTATCTGACAATTCGTATCAAAACATGTCACAGGTTGGGAGGAGGCCAGATTGTAATTGGGCGGATGTTTGGAGCTCTTGATCCTAGCTGCTAATACTCACGAATTTTAGTGAAAATACACATTGTTTTGGTCCATATGCATAGAGAAAGATTAAGAAATCTAAACATGCATCATTTTGGGATAAATATGTTTGATTTATTCATTCAAATTTATCTCATTTGTAAAAAATGGCATCTCATTTTTTTTTTCTAACCCTAATTCTCCATCCTTCATTTTTTTTTAAATATGGACAACCAAGTTTTATTTTCGAGATCATACTCAAAATAATTATTTAACTATCTCATAATTTTCAATTTGGTCATCACTACCAATTCATCCAAAATAGTCATCGACTATGCAAAAATTCACTCAATTTAGTCGTCATTATAACTAACGAATGATTAAAAAAAGTAAAAGTGTGCATAATTAAGAGATCATTTTGTGTAAAATTTATAATCGATGACAATGTCAAGGATCACTTTGGGAACTAATTCTTTATCTTATTTCTCACCAAAATAACTATTTTATTTTCTTCCTCCAATAAAATTTGAACACGTGGCAGGCGTTATACTTCATAGTATATATCTATCATTTTCCTTTTCATAGTATATATATATATATATATATATATATATATATATATATATATACACACACATATATATAGAATTAGGTTCGGGTGAGGTTAAGGTGCCCAGGTGCGGTTGTGCGGTTTAATCTGGGCCATTCATCTCGCTTAAATCAACGTCTAGGATTACCAAAATTTTTTAAAAAAACGCGGTGGTAATTTTGTAGTTTTTGCATCTAGGTCAAAATTAAGGTGAGCGAATCTGTGATTAATATGCGTGAGTTTTGTATATAAGATGCGTGAGGTTTGTGCTTAATGTGCGTGGGGTTGTGCTTAATGTGAGTAGTTGTTAAAACTTAAAGTCTGTGAGTTAATAATTAAAGTGCGTGGATTTTGTGCTTAATGTGCGTGAGGTTGTGCTTAATGTGCATGGGTTTTGTACTTAATGTCAGTAGTTGTTGAAACTTAAAGTCTGTGAGTTAATATTTAAAGTGCGTGGGTTTTGTGCTTAATGTGTGTGATGTTGTGTTTAATGTGTGTAGGTTTTGTACTTAATGTGCCTGAGTTTGTGCTTAAGATTTAACACTTAAGGTGTGTGTTTCTATCACTTAGGTGCGCCATTTTTAGCTTATGCTTCTTTCTTCGAGACACGTTTTTTTTTTTTTTTTAATTTTCATTGATTTAAGCCGTTGATCTAAATTTGATTAACGGCTCAAATCTAACCGCACAATCGCACGGGAAGCTATACCCGCACCTGAACCCTTCCATATATATATATATATATATATATATATATATATATATATATATATATATATATATATATATATATATACACACACACACACACTTTCACATATGTTTGAGGGAGAGCGAAATGTTAGTAATTTACATTTTTTTTAATTTTTTTTTTCCTAATTGACATTTTTTCTAAAAATTATTATTCATTATTTTCTATTCATATGTATATAGAAGGAAAATAGAGTTAATATTCAAAATGATCTTCGATTATAACATTTTTTTTTATTTCGTTCTAAACGACTTTGGTGATTCAATATAATCACAGACTTTTGTGTTTTTGCTCAATTTAGTCTTCCGTTTGTTATTTCGTCAAATTGATGTTAAATAAACGGATAATTCAGTAATTTTAATAATTACATCTTTTTACTCCTAGACCTAAGAAGGGTGAAATATCTCTTTCTTTTACAAATTACTCTTATAATTACTCCGGAACCTGTAAATATACAATTTGATTTGTAGTTCTAGGAATAATTCGTAAAAGAAAGAGGGATTTCGCACTTCGTAGGTTTGAGAGTAAAGAGGGACCAATATTAAGATTACTAAATTGTCCATTTATTTAATATCAATTTGACGAAATAACAAACAGATGACTAAATTGAGCGAAAACACAAAAATTCGGGACTACATTAGGTCACCAAAGTTATTTAGGATGAAATTGAGAAAAATTACTATAATCGATTACCAGTATTAACTCAAGGAAAATACAACGTGTTCAATATCTTTTAACGTGATATACACTTATTGATGCTCATAATTATTATTTTCTAATTTATAATTTCTTGAATAAAACTAGGCCGGATATATGATAAAAATTATATTCTTTGAAATTAAACCTTTTTTTTTATGGATAAATAATGAAAATTACAGAAAGAGAACTGTTGAATTAAGGTGCGAATGGCGTGCACGAGTCTGCCATTAAGACTTGAAGTAATTCTTCTCATCACACATTCAATTCATGACATTTTTGGAGTCACCTTCAAAACACCCTATCAATGTCATATATATATATATATATATATATATATATATATATATATATATATATATATCGATATGCAATGGCCTGCCTGCCCTACTTGTTCAATAAGATACTAATTCATGCCTTCAACTGTCATGGAAAACATTGATGGAAGTTTGAACCTAAATTTAAGGCCGGCACCACACATGTATTGAAGATTGGTGGAAAAGGTCAATCACGGGTATCATTTTTTTTTTTTTTTTGAAAGGATCACGAAATCACTTTAAGTGACTTACAAACTTCTAAATACTTGTATATTAATGTCCACAACAAGGTCAAATTCATACCACCAGTTGTTGTTCGTGGTATAGTAGGACTTGAACTATGCATGCACCCTGCAGCGGCGAATGAAGCAAAACTTTCAATTACTAATTTGTAGTACAGAATTCATACTCATAAGATACAGAATTTCGTAACGTAAGGCACAAAAAGTTATAAAACAAAGCACAGACGCATGAACCAGGGTCCATAGTGCAATGTGAACCCTGGTCTATGATATAACAATTATTGAAAGTGAGGTTAGATACTTAGATAAATGTTAACTCTCGTACAATATAATATTTTAGGCAAATATTTTGTGAACCCGGATTTAAAAATACACAATTTATATACTAAATATTCACAATTTGAATTGTGAACGTATATCAATTGTGTATCTTGACCCGGGTTCATGGCATAACTGTCCAATACTTTACAACCCAATTAGTCTGTTTAAGCCCAATCCAACTGAAATTAAGTGGCCCGGCCCAGTATTCTTTATTTAAAAAATATATATATTTAGAAAAACAAAAACAGAGAGAGAAAATAGAAGGCCATAAAACCCTAACTCCAAAACCCTCGTCTCCGTCTGAGCTGCTAGTTTTACTCTGTTCTCCATCTTCCTAACCTAAACAAAGATGGTTCGAAGCCTCAAAAACCCTAAAAAAGCTAAACGCAAGAACAAGGTACAATCATTTTCCTCTAATTTCAAATTCTGAAGCCAATTTTCAATAAATTTGTTGATTTTTTTTTTTAAAATAAAATAAATCAGGCTGGGAAGAAAGGAGAAGGATCATCGTCATCGAATTCAATACCTTCGCCGCCGGCGAAGGTGTGGCAACCTGGAGTAGACAAGTTAGAGGAAGGAGAAGAGCTTCAGTGCGATCCTTCTGCATACAACTCACTCCATGCCTTCCACATTGGCTGGCCTTGCTTAAGGTATAATTAGATATTAGTGAACGATCATTTTTTAGCAAAATCAGCAAATTTTCTAGGCCTTTCGTTGGTTATGTTTTAACTTGGTACTAAATTGTCACCCGGAAGATGAAATTTGTGTATTTGCATAAAAGCTGCTTCCTTTTTTGTTTTTACTTGGTACTAGGTTGTTAAGAAAAGTAGAATGGTCACTCGGTTTTTACTCTTAGCAACAAACTTT